TGGTGCTACTGCAAACCTACTTTCTATTATACCTTTTCACCATGCAAACCTGCAAGACTTATCTAAGCTTTAAGACTGCTTTAGGCTTAGTTGCCAACTCATTTATTAAAGCTCACTTCAAAATTCAATGTTGCAGCTGCCCATAGAGCAATTAAATAAGTTTGTATAGCCCTATGCTGCTGCCGGCCACATGCACACATGCATCAGACCCCAACCCAAACTGTGCCAAGGTACCAGGATAGGCCCACTAAGCCCAGTACTCCAGTAGGGCGTTGTGCCAAGACAGATGGAGTAGAAGCAATGATAAGTAATGCATGGACCCGCACAACATACAGTTTGCCTCTTGGATTGCCTTTTTTTCACTGTTTTGATCCCAGAGCATCAAATATCACCCCCCCATTTGCAGTGACGAACGCATTAGCCACGCCCACAATTGCCCACGCAACGTAGAGACTAGTCTTGGCTCAAAACTAGCTTTCGAAGTTATTCCGTTAATGCCAACAACGAACATGTGCAGGCATTGAGGGATTTATCCAAATCGAGCCTTGTGCCAAGACTATAGTGTTACCGATTACACAAGTAAAGTACATGTACATATATACATATACGCACGGTTACCGGTGCCGCACTATGCTTTTGTATAATAATCAATGTAAACAACAGTTAGTGGTGAGAGCTAGAGACTGCGAGAGTTTGGATGTGTCAGTGCCGGCATGCCTCGTGTCTTTCCTCTCATCTCGTCTAGTTTAACACTGTTTGTCCATGGCCTCCGTGAAAGATGTGATACGCGACGACACACTGAAGTAATGTGAACCCACCATTCGTATCGCCAGGCCTTCCTCCATGGTGTAATGGTGGATAACATCTCATCTGCCCGTGCAAGAATCAATTGTCAGCATAATCCAGCGCCGGCGCGGCGACCACGTCTCAAGTTCGTGGGAATGGTTATAATCGTTCTGCTGAGTGCTGGTACTTCGGGACGCAGGTGCTGAATCACAGACGAAACGGTTGATGATACATGTGGATTGTTTGTTGTTTACAAAATGGGACTGAAAGGACGGCAATTTCGCTTGCTTCTGTGGAAAAACTTTATTTTACAGGTAAGGCAAGGCTTTCATACCCTGTTCAAACCGTCATGACCATAGCTACCTGCGGTGAAGGGGTCCATCTGTCCATGGTGTTTTGTTCACCCGATGGGGTAAATGGGATAAAATTTCAAAAAGAGGCCTAACGCCTGAGACCATTTAGTCACCAGGTCCTTTTTTTTTACCACTTTCATGTACAGTCATGACTGTGAAAATTAGTGGATCCTTAATGCTCCAAACAATCTTTCAAGAGTACGGTACATATAAATTATAAGGTGATCAGCAGCTGACATGTATGTTGAGAGATATCACATACATTGTACACTTCCATACTACAAGTAATTCTGTGGTGCAGGTTGACCGATTGTGCTAAAATACATGGATTAATGAGCTCTTTTTATTATGGCCTACATATACAGTGAATCATACCGTACACTTTACGGCACAAGTACAATGTACATGTAAATAATGTTAATTCAGAACTACATGGACATGCACCAATAAGTGGAGGTATCATCTAATACTGATGGATAGCACAACCTGGATTGACATAGACCTGCATGTACTTTAAAAGTACTGTGTAGCAATTTAAGACGTTGATGTTGATGAAGGTTGCACTGATGACAGTGAAAGTGTTGGTACATGTACATCATACAGTATGGCCACTTCCATACCAAATCACCTTAATTTCAGACAAGCCCCCTGATGCATGTGCCTGTCAGATTTGGATGAAAAATTATCAAGTTCACTCACGGTCAGAATATAGAGAGAAAATTGTTACCTTATACAATATAGTCCAAGTCTGAGCACTGTAGTGTATTGTATGTAAATTCCTGCAGTAGGGAATTCAGTGAAGGTTATAAAACAACATACAACAGCAGTGCGACTTTTTGCAGCCTCCTGTCAGAAGAGATTTGCCCCTGCAGTGGTTTACATGCTTTTAAATAGTGTTGTACTGTACGTAGTCAAGACCATCACAAGACCTTTCACAACACCAGACACAAGACCATGTACAAGATCCAGTCACAACAGGGTGAACAATGACAAAGGAATCCTTTTGTCGGAGTTCGTTTGAATAGCTTGTACATGCAACTTGAATTCACACTGGAGGTCCTGTGTTGGTCTTGTGATGGTCTCATGTGATAGTCTTGACGAGAGCACTTGTTTCACAAGCAAGCAGAAAGTGATAACATGTCTTGAAAAGACAAATTTAGCAGGGAAAATGCTTTTAAAGTATTTACCGTAAACAGAGAACAGATTTTTGCCAGAGAAGTGCACACAATTCTAAATATTACAGTGATATTCATTCAACTTTCATACATGTAAATGTATGTGTTTGTAGGATATAAATCAAATTCAACTGTCCAATATGTACATGCACATGTACCATATCAAAATGATATGAGATAATAGAGGCCAGTATTTATGGTTTCGACGTCCTTAGACTGATGTTTTGCACACTAGTACATTGTACATGTACATTGTAAATTACCTCTCTCGCACAGGGACTGGCATATGGGTACATGTATGTTTTCATCGTGACTATTTCAGCTTAAAATGGATTTGAAAAAGAATACGGTACCTGCACCGGTATTTTCAACTTGTGTACAGGTGTAGCCGTACAGATACATGTACATGTACATGTACTGGTACACGGATATGTATTGCAGAAAATAACTGGAATAACATCTTTCTAATATAGTGATTTGGTTTCCTCTAAAATATTTGCATTATTTGACAAATTTACATTGTATCATTAGAAATTTACAAAGCTTGCCTGTACATGAATTATGTACAGTACATGTACATGTATTAGGCCTTCTGTGGATATCTTGCACAAAAGCACTGGAGTTTTGCAAAATGAGTTATATTCACAGACTCGCTTAACCGTGAAGGAGATTTAATTAAAATTTGGTGCAGATAGGCTTATAGAGTTTGGTCAGATGAACTGTCCATTTCTTTGTATACATGTCCATGTAGAGGTAATTTGGGGAAGCACTTTTCAAAGCACTGATTGTGGCATGGGAAATGGCCTTGATGGGCAGTAGGTGTAGGGAGTACAGTGAAGTCCTGTGAAAGACCAGTATTTGTATCAATTGACACATAGCCATGAAGCAAATCAGTCCCAAGAGTTATGCTTGGCACTGTCCTAAATGCCAACTATTCAAGGTATTAAAACAGCACCGATGCCCTGAATTGTATGCATTTATCAGTACGGGTACATCTACGTGTAGTTCATGGCATGGGTACTGCATTACATACAATGTGTGTTTTGCCCCCTTCCCTACCTTCCCTACCCCCCTCGTGAAAAAAAAGGTAAGAAAAGTCAAATCAGAATAAGTTAAAGACTCCAGGCACCTTTGAATTCAAAAAGATATGGTCAGTCCACCCAGAGTGCAAACTTTTAGCTTGGCAACCCTATCAAGATGTACATGCACATGTATGTACATATACTTTGCATCATATACTACATGATGTACAGGGTGTCTACATAAAAAGTATACGGAGATAAAAATTACTGTAATAGCAAAACTACTTTATATATGAGAAAGAGAAATATATCTCTAGAAAGGGCAGACTGTCCTCTTTGCAATGGTATACAGCTTCTGATGTTATTGACACAGATGAGTGAACAGACTAGACTGGTGTTAAGGGTACTGAAATCGGGACTGTGACAAGTTTGCATATGTGATTAACATGTAATCCATCGACCCCTACCCACATGTACAGTTGTATGATGCTGTACTACTTTCCTGTACAATGTACATGTACATACATGTACATGTATGTAAATTTATGATACACGTCAGTTATGGGACAATTAAGCTTTTATTTATTGCAGTGTTGGGAGAATACTGGTACCATTATTACGCAGGCCTACCTTTACTGTCCTGTACCATAATATAATGAATATGGTGATGTAAGAAAAATGGGTTGAGGTACTGATACATGTACATGCATGTCTATGTAGCAGTACCGTACTGAGTCCTGGAGAAATTGGTCATTTTCTCGACATTAATATACTGAACTGTGATTCATGACTGAACTAATGTCAGCTGCTGCAAACCAATTTAAAGGCTTTGTATTGCAGTCCTGCATAAAATCACAGCAAGTGGCTACCTTCCGGTACATGTACATGTGTCTCTTATTCAATGCTCTATAAAATCATTAAAATGGCAATTATCAACTTGTCACCATTTCAAAATATTACATGTACATGTAAGTAGTTATTACAATTAACTTGTCACTCACTGATTGATTTAACTAATGAGTAATTTAATGACTTGTTCATGATAATCCACCAATGGAATATAGTGCAAAATTTATTCAGATGTTGTCTAATATGGTGACCATTGGCACAGAATGAAATCTTGACCATGTCCACCCCCATCAGTCTATTGGTGGATTCAACGCCTGGAAGCGAACACAGCAAGCCTACTGGTACTTGTGTATATTGTACACATGTACCTGTACATGTACAGTACATGCATACTTGTATCATTACATGTACATGTAGGTGGCAGTCATAGCGCACCTGTACATAGTGTGAAGTTTAAAAAAGGCGTTATCATGTTTGCAACCCAAATTCAGCCCAGATTTCCAAATTATATTACACTGTACAGATTCGACGCCCTATTGGAACCACATTTGAGCTGCTGCTACCACTCTTAGCTACGGCATTGCTCCTTCTTGCAAGGTGAGTGTGGGATAAATTAACACATTCAATTTCAGCGGAGAAGAGACCAGTCATTCTGACTTTTTCTTTGACCGAGTGACAGTACAAACTTGTGTACATGTATTTTCCTGCAAACCAGGGCAACACTCACACAGACATAAAAGAAATTGGAGAGGTAAAGTACTTGCAAGTACTTTTTTGCACATACATCGTGTACAGTGCCGATACGTACATGTACGTGTATACCAATCACTTTTTTCCTGCCATGCATGACACTTTTGCTTTGAAGTGAGCCCTGAAGGTGATGCTGTAGCTTGCAATCACATGTAGGGTAAACATGTTTCATTTACACGATTGGATTTTTGAGAGTCAACTTGAGACCAAGCCTTCTCTTACCAGCATACATGTACAGTGTATCAGGCGCAGATCTGGGGGGAGGGGATTTGGGGGATAACCCCCCTGTCATGCTCGGAGACCCCCCAAAAAGTTTTTAAAATGGGACAAATTGTAAAGTATAGTAACTTACATATGTACCTGTACTGAGACTGAAAAGTAAGATAGTACCAATACCATTGTAAACAATGTAAATGTACATTTTATGTCTTATAATGTTTCTTTTCTGCTTGTCTGCAAAAGTAAGATACTAAAACAAATCTCTGGCATAAACCCACCCGCCCCCCGAAAAATTCCTTGATCCACCCCTGCATATTCCATGAATCCTAATTAAAAATTTTTCCTCCATTTACATAAGAATCCTTAATGTACTTTACTGATCAACAAGTTAGCTTTACAGCACAATTTCAAATTGTATTCACCTGCAATTGCATTGTCCTTTTTGTCTGGACAGACTCCTGATCAAGTCTGAAGATCTGTGTTTCAGTAAGTACTCAATCTGTAAAGGCTACTCTATTTTGTTGTGTTGAATCCCAAATAAGATACTCAATTTGACAAATAACCAAATTCATAAAATTTGAAAATAAACAGACTAAAAAGAAAAAATCATGCTCCCATAATCATGTCCAGGTCCTTCTACCAGTAAGGACAGTTTCTACAAGTCATGCCATAATGAATTATTGCTGTTTCTATGGTTATAGCAACCTTTGAGCCGGGTTTCTCTGATCAAGAGTCTCTGTCTGCATCTGAAATCGAACGGCTTCAGACATGTATCGCCAATGGCACAGGCTGTCCCCAGCTCGCTTACTACCCCAACAACAACCTCAGTAAGTTTTCTCCTTGAAAGTTGCCACATGCCGTAGCCTAGATACACCAGCAACCAAACAACACACAGAGTCATTTTTACAGATCTGTAGTTATTCACAAGTTTTTAACTTCTCAAGGTTTTTTCTTTTCTGTTCAGTAGGTGCTATACCATTTCCCACAAGTTTGCCACTCACTTTATTTCCCTGCCCCCTGTCTTTGCTTACTGGTGTTTGCTGACTCCCTTTGAGCCAGACAACTGAAGATTTTTAACCGTGGATGCATTTAGTTTGACCTTGTGCTTACACTCATCAAACTTCCCAAAATGCTTACCACAGTTGATGCAGAAAAGAATGTTGGAATAAATTCAGGGAAGTGATACTGCACCAGGGGAACGTGTACATAAATGTCTGCAGCATGGAGTTTGAAATTTCTGTTATTTGTACAAATTTCATTGTTTTGAACAATGTTGAATCCAATGCAAACCTCTTAATCACCCCCAGCCACTGCATTAATGCTTGGTGTGGCGCTGCAAGTGACCGTGCCTCTGTCGCCTAGCAACTTCTCGTCTGAGGAAGAGTTAGTAAAAACTGCAGCTGAAGACCTTGACGGCTACTATGGAGGTAGGGACTTCTGCAAGTTTGAATGAAACTTAAAACAAAATGCTCAGGTGAAAAGATACATGAATAAAGGTAGTGAGGTCATTACAAGTGAATTGAAAGTAACACAACACTTTCAGTAACATGTGCCTCTTTCCAAAGAGTTAAGTGTAGTTGCCTGTTTGCGTTAGAACATTGAATAATACACATGTCCGCCATTATACAGAACAAGTTTCCTCTACTGTACCTGTCTACAGTTTTTCCATATCTAACATGTACATGTATAACAAGCTTGTGTGAAGTGACTAATTTACATGTATTCTACAGTAAATTGGCAAACTCAAGATTTACAAAAAGCATGTCATCAATGAAAGTGTAAAAACTGGATAATTTCAACATTTCATCAGACAAGGTCATTCACAGTTGCTGGAGTTTTCAGTGTCTGCAGAGTTTTAAACTTATGTCACTGAACATTGTTTTTATTTCTGGCAACAATCCAATCTGGAAATACTTTCCTGCTCTCTCAAGGCGATCTCATCAGATAAACATCACACATACATGTACATGTCCAATACCATGAAATTTAAGGCTGGCATGGGAATGGTCTGTGTGTGGAATGACTTCATGTACACTGCTCTTTGGATCGACAGTGCATAAGACCAAGGAATTGATTATGCTTGAAGATTCATTACACTCATGTAAAAGTACTGGTAGCCTGTACCAGGGTACCGGTACATCAGAAGGTACGAAACCAGCTATTTTCTAAATTCTTGTCTTCAGGGCTTTTTCTGCACTCTTCCGTACATGTCTGCCTGTTAGGTAATAATTTTGGTAGCTTGATTTATTTGTCAAGGATACCAAGCCTCCATTTTATGTGTCCAAATAACATTCAGTCTGTTGTGAGTCCTGTTCAGGTTATGGCTGCCTGCGTGGCATGTCTCATTTGTATTTGAAAGTTTATGCTGTGTGATACATGCTTGAATTGGGGAATTCCTTGCTTTTTGTTCGAAGGTCATAGCCTGCAGATAACTGCGAAATATGTTGCAATTTTTCAGAAGTACCAAAGCTACTGTACATGTGTGCGTGTATTTTGGCTTCAAAGAATATTAATTTGTCATAGGACAGTAGTATCCATGGGGAAGGCTTAAAGAGAAACCTAAGCAGCCATGTTTTCGAGGGTACTCCTGTAAAGAAAGTTGTTTAGGTTAAATTTCAAAAAATCTGTTTCCAGTCATTTAATACATTAATTAAGTGGCTGCAACTTCTGCCACAGCACCCACCCAAAAACATGTTACATACATGTACAGGTACACAAATGTACCTGTATGTTCCGTACATGTATGTGGGCATGCCTTTTGAACCCAGATTGACCTAATCAGCCATTTTCAGGCCCACGGCCATCAACAATCCATTTGATTTGGAGTCGTAGTCATCTTCGACTTCGCAGGACAAACAGCAAACAACATTAAGTGTTAATTTTTTTCTCAGTGATTGTGTTTGACTTCGACAACGGCACCACGTCACTTCCTCCAAATGTCACGTACAAGATCCGCCTCCCCCACGACATAGTACGCCGAGAAACCTGGCGAACTGAGCGCACCTATCCGAACTTTGACGTGGTGGGACCACGGCTGTACAAGTAAGGCTGTGACATATGTTTGTTTGACTTGACCCAAAACAACATGGCCAGTTCAAATTGTTTAAAATCCTAATTCTAAAATGTCAACGTTCAGTGGATAATTGTAGCCACTGATTATTTTAGCATACGTGTAAATGATTCCAGTGAAGTTTAACCCCCAAGTTTCATTACTGTGTACCATAGGATATGATTGCATCTGAGGTCTATCCCTATGTCCATTCCCTTTAATTGCATGAATGAATGTTAAACTTTTACCATATTTAAATCTTGACCACTGGTACCTGTACACTGTACTTCCATACTGACCCTTTTCCTCCAACATTCTAATATTGGTCTAGTGTTTGTGATGTAATCAGAAATATGCTTATCACTTTATAATTCAGCGGAATGATTTTTAAAGGTGTGCATGCTCTGTTTGTTTGGAAAAGCATGTCAGTTGGTACTTAACCTCATTAAGCACATGCCCTTTTTTTCTTCAAAACCTGTAAAGTTCAGATGTTTGATGAGTGTACATGTAAATGTATACTACATGTGTGATATGAGTTAAGACTGAAACCAGCTATTTTTGTATTTGTTAGATTCAGCTAGACTCAGTAAGCTGCTTATATGTACATGTAGATGTACATTGCCATATTTTTTCAATTGAATTCAGAGGAGTTTAAACCTCTGTTGATTAGATGTTTATACTGATACACTCTTTATTTACATGTATTTATGTCTAGGCATACAAGTACTTCACATTAAACTGGAGCCAAAGTTGTTCATTGCATGCTGGAAAATATCCATCATCAATTTTTCCATTGTTCTAAATATTGATCTGTGTACATGTACATGTGTGTAGAACATCTAAACTACCAGAGATGGACGGTACTTGTTCATATTTATTTACATTTAGAATTGCAGACTGTCAGTAAACGGCCAAAATTTCAGTCAGAGTTAACCTCAAAATCTTTTTTCTGGAAATAGCCCACGCGTACTAACGATCTTGTATTTTATAGCTAACATCACATGATGCCAGTGCATGTTCCTCATTAATTTTTGCTTGCCTAATTGCTTGCATCTTAAACCTTATTTCCCCTTCCAAGCTTGTACAAAACCCGCTTCCTAGCTTTGCAGCATGCTGTAGACTCAGTCATTGCTGCCTTTCATGTTGCTGGGTTGGATGGTCTCTTTGGAGCTTTCCAGAAATTGCGCACCGTCCAAGTACAGTTGCAGGTGAGGAGAATCAGATCTTGGTGTCCTTGGCAGAAGCAGTGGATTTATAGTGAATCCCACAGGTGAAGAGTTACCATGGAAATCAGTAAATGTACCTGTGACGATGGCACTACCCTCGTTGAGATTAGAAAGTTTGTTCAGTTCACAGAATTCATTTTCTTGTTCCGGGTAATTGTACTGTAAGATCAGACATGAGTGACACCCAGTTTTCCCTGTATGCAAGATACATGTACATGTACATGTAGTTACAAATCACCATTGCTCAGCCTGGTTTTTTGAACAGTTAGTTTCTTGTAAAGCTGAATTGAGAGGCAGATGTGGGATGGGTGTTATGAGCTCTTGACACTCAAATTGTTGGTACCGGTACATGTACATGTAATGTTCAAATTTGTCTGCATTCTCATAATGAACCCGGTAAATTGGGTTTTTGGTCTTGATTTTAAAAAATTGATTGATTTAACTGCGTATGGTTGATACTGATGTTGATATTGATATTTTGATTACGCCTATCATGTACATGTACCTGTAGACCACAAGAATTGTTGCCAGTCTGTCTCTGTCGAAGGATTTTTATTGAAAAGGAAGCTGTTTTTAGCATTGCATTAAATACCCAGAGAACTCTTAGCAGGGGGCTGCTCTGTTGAATCTCTCCCTCGCTTGAGTTAATCAATCCCCAAGAATGTCATCAACTGCATGGAAAGAAATCTTCCACCACCTTCAGTATACGTGATGTCTAATGTAAATCACCATAGTGGCAAGCATGCGAGAGTCAGTCTTCTCCCTGATTATGATGATGGGAGCAAAATTATGTGCTATGTCCCTTATTACATGTACGTGCTACATGTACCTTCAACAGTACCGGTACATTGTACCTGCTGTCATTTGGAGGTGGGGGGTGTGTCTTAATGGAGAGTTACATGTACATGTACATGTATGCATCGATAAAAGGTCTCATTAGTATTTCAAATGAAAGTTTTCTATTTCCTCAACAGCATGCTTTAATTTTGGCATGTTAGGCTTTTGAATAATAATAATAACAATAATAATATTTGAAAATTTATAATGTGCCATTTTCATAAAAATGATCAATGGCACAGTAACGGCACAAATTAAGGAAATAAATGGAAATTAATGTAATGAATGAATGTCACTGTGCTAGTACATTCATTCGAAAATGGCGAGATTCTGTTAGCTCTGTACATGTACCGGTAGGAGCAGCCACTGCAAATGTCCTGTCACCAAGTGTGGGTAACATTTTACCTCTAGGATAACTCAAGGAACGTTGTTTGCTGACCTGAGATGATATCATGATTACATGTTACAGGACGTCAGAATTAGGAGCAGTTCCATTCCAAATTTTGTACAGAATACCGGTACCTTGTGTAAGTAATTGAACAGAACGATGTGCCACATTGTCCAAATGCCTTTTATTGTCCCCTTTGTGAATCCCCTCCCCACAAAATGCATTCTGGGATTGTGCCCGAGATTCCTTTTGTTGTCAGTGACATGTTAATGTTCTTGTGCTCTGCCCTTTATTCTATCCAGCAATTCCCACATGCAGCCTACCTGTCTGACAGGTTTCTAACCAGCCTTGAATTCTTGATGCCTTTCCTGCTGTGTCTGAGCTTCATCTACACAGCAGGGACCATCACCAGGGTAACTCAGTTTTGAAGTATTCATTCGGCAAGCCAAAAATGTGCACACGCCAAACGACATCAGTATAGCTTTGACTCAAAACGTGTATCAACCCTACATAATAACTGGAGAGGGTGTGTGTGAAATCAAGTTAAATCAGAGGATTGAGCTACATGTATAGACAAAAACAAAAATAAACACTCCTAAAGATTTATGTTTCAAAATCACTTTTTTTTGTGCTTGTTGCTACATGTATATACATGTAAATACAGTAGATTTGGTTATACATTTGCAACATTTGGTTTTAAACATATTTCGTTTCCTCTTTTATACCCACACAAAAAAGAATACATGTCTGATGTATTTTGATTCAAAGATGTTAAGTGCATGTGCATAATAGAGCAGATATCGGTATATTATTTTATTTCAATACCCGTGATGTGGTGTTATTGATGCCGCAGTTTTGGATACTTTTCAGGAGTTGGTTTTGGAGAAGGAGAAACGCTTGAAGGAAAGCATGAAGATGATGGGGCTAGCCAACTGGATCCACTGGGTTGCTTGGTTCATCAAGAATCTGGTGTTTCTCCTCATCCCGATCATCTTGATCACCGTCCTCCTGAAGGTAATTAACCCTAACCCCTATGAACCATTGAAATTCTGCATATATGCGTGTTGGATTCAGAAAGGTCAGGGTTCAACAAGACAAGGGGTTGATCCAGGACGTTTTCCGGGAGGGGGGAGGAGCTCAGGCCCATCAGATTCTTTATGTCCGATTGTTGTGGCCAGGTGGACACGTACATACATGTACACTGTACATGCACTTGTGGGTAATTGATGACATTTACTGATGTACAAATACATGTAATAACCCTCACAGGATGTCATTTTTAAATTATTACTATAACTGTTATTTCTTTCCGTAATTTAATAATTTTTGGAGGTCTCGATGGTTGACCACCATCACATTCACCTCCTGAATCTGTTTTCTGGTTCTTGTTTGCCTCTTCTTCTCTGTTGTAGGTTCATCATGCTGTGTACATGTAATGGACATGTGTAGGTACATGCACATGTAGCTTATTATTTACGTTCATGTACCATAGTTAGGGTTGGGGGAAGTGGATACAGAAAAGATCAAGACTTCACCAATGTCAGGGGAAATTTGGAATTAATACTTTACATATTATTAGACCCAGCAGATGGTCTTTTCCACATCACGACACTGCAGTTTGGGTCCTGGATTCCAGACATTTAGTCTCAAAGCTGTGTATTTTCTTTACTTTTCTTCCCCTCTTCCCCATTAGAATTAGTTTTCGTTCCAGTCTCTTTTAATTTAGCTGTGATCCTTACAACGGAAGGAGACTCATGGGCATATTATAAATATAAAGTTACGTAAGTAGTAATCTGGAAAGCAATCAGCAACAAATTAGTTGATGGTCAGTTGATATTGTACATCTTTATTTGAAAACAGAACCCTTTCAAGGTGAAAACAAATGAAAATATGTATTGACTTTCAGACCAGTGTCCACTTACATGTATAGTAGCATCTGCTAGCCATCATATAGCCTGCAACTTTTATATTTTGCTGTGGAGATTATTGCAATATTGAAGCAGAAGACCAGCTCCAATCTACCTACTGAAAGTTGTCTTGACAAACAAACAGTAACCAAGTACCAATTCAACCTGCACTGACTACCCTGCCTGATAATCTGTGTATATTCTCCAGCATTGGTTTGCTTTTATGTTCATTTATAACCACAGCCCTCAGCCTTCCACCTGCAAACTTTCTTGAGCCATTTGTTCAGAGTGGCTTTAGCGACTTGCGAACTAGCAACCTTTGAATGATGCAGAATGGTTGTTTGTAGTAAACATGGTAAAAAAAAAAAGCACACTGTTTTTCAAATCTGGCTGTTTGAAAGAGTTTACTTTGGAGAACTCCATCTGGACAATGCAGAACTTGAAATTAATTGATGCCAACGAAGTCTGTATAGGGATAACCTTAACTCCCCTCCCCCTCTGGGTGTGTGAACTCTTAACGTGCATCTGAATTGATGCGGCACTGTGAGGGGGAAATTTAGAAGTATCAGACATATCGGCCTTTTTGTTGGTAATGATGTTGTTGCCTCAGGTTACCCTTGTACAAAATGTAGTGTAAAAATATTAGGGAAACTCGTTAGCCAAGAAAGTCAGAAAGGTTCCATGCCAACCTGTTTTTGTTTAATATACATGTACATGTAGCTAAAGTACAAGCTTGGTCAGTGTCTGTCACATGTGTATCAAGATGACTTAAACTGCCTTGCCAAACTCAGCTATTAGTGCCATTAGGCTCACCTCTCAAAAGGATTTCAGTCTGCCTGTTGCCATGGAAACTTTCCACTTACGTCAGCGTTAAGATGCTGATTTGACAAAATCTTGCACTCCTTTTACTTTTGTTATTGTCACAATGTACATGTAACTACATGTACGTGTATGTATCTTTCTTTACAAAAGAGAACCAGTTTTGGATGGAGATACTTCATCCATGTTGCAATTGAGGGTGGGTGAACATGATTTGGATATCTAGGTATAGCTGGTGAGATAAAACATCAAGTGTTCCTAACCTCAGGTTGAGTTTTAAGCATGCTAATCCACCAATTGTTGTGCACACATATGCAGAGTCTGAGAATGCAGAAGATTACTTGAACTTGGCTGCTTTGCACAGCTTGTTGTGGAGGCAAATATTACAAGTGGGGACATCCCAGAGTGTTAAAACAAACATGTACAAGGTGGCTGTACTTGAGAAACATTGTACAATTACTGTTCAAACAACTCTTGCAAATCAGTATTTGTGGCATTTGACTCTATAGGCTTATATCAAAAGTTGGTTAAAAGTCAAAATTTTTGCCAAAAAATCCCATTACCATTGGTTAATCAAAACGTGGTAAATATGTAGTATTATGGATTGAATTTCATTTTCAAATTATTGACCAGGTCCAGTTTTGCTTTTGTTCATTATTTCCTTCACATTACATCACGCTTTTGTATTCATTCTGAACCGTTAACCAGTTTCTTGATATTTATGTCACTGCAGATTGGACGAGTGTTCCCCAACTCAGATCCTACCGTCGTCTTCGTCTTTCTGTTCCTTTGGCTCACTGCCAGCATTGCCTGGGCCTTTGCCGTCAGCGTTCTTTTCTCCCGTGCCCGTCTTGGCCTCATCTTCGGCTTTGTCTTCTGGTTTGCTAACTACCTGCCCCTCATGTTCATCCAGTATGACAGCTCCACAGTGTGAGTCTGTTGTATCTCATCATCCTGAAGGCATTTATTTTGTCGGCTTGATTTTTCTCTCTCCCGCCTTTTTGCCTCCAGAAGGTTGTGGTGGTTGGCTATTAGCCACTTGCGAGTTAAATTTAAATAAAATCTGGTACACTGGGTTATCTGATTGCACAGAAATGTAACAATTTGAATTCCCCAGACTAAAGACACTGTTGCAATGCCTCGTGATTTGGGGCAAGCTTTTCCATAGGAACCACCATCTCTGGAATGGTCTGGTTCCTTTGTGCCTTTCTTATCCATTGAGAACAGTGTATTGTTGCAAGGTGTCTCTTGTGTAACTAAGCAAAACCTTGCCCCGAATCACAAGGTAGAGCAACAGTGGTTTTAGTATGGAGAATTCAAGCTGTGATGTGCACATGAATTTAAAGAACTCAGTGTACCAGATTTTATTCAAACTTAACTCGCAAATGGCTTATTGAAGCTGGTCATTTTTTCTTGAAAAGTATATGGAAATGGCATAGGCAAGCCAAAGTGAATTAGAAATTTGGGATTTTTTAGCTGCTCCTGCGTTTTTGAGTGAAATTGTGAGCCTTGAGTGAAGAATTTGTTCCGAATTGTAAAGGAGACAAGCGGAAATTTCCATATATAAAGCAGGAAAGTGATGTACGATTGAGATTAAAAAAAGAGAAAAATTGAAATCTTTCATTTCGGTTGTTTGGGTGTTGAATTTATTTTACCTGTTTTTTTTTGCCTTTTGATTTTTTGTTCATATGCGAGTACCCGTGAACATTTTTGTTGATTTTTGTTCCATTCACACGCCATTGCCTCATTGAGGGGGCAATTTCTTGCATTAGAAACGTTGAAACCAACTTTGAAGGGACCGAAAGTTGACCCCTTAACTTTTATCAGTTCCCCACAATGTGTGTGTTGTATACTTGTAGATTGTGTGTACAATGTACACATGTACCATTGTTCCATCAGTTCCTACAATTACTGAAAAATAGTTGAGCACCTTTATAGAATCTATCCACATCTATGTATATATGTAGCTGACATGTAAGCATGTGTGTCCATTGACTCTTTGGATCCCACATTCAATAGTGCAGTCTAGGCCGTTCTTACAATACGCATCAGGCTTTACACAAAGAGATGATTTGATGTCTCCTAATTTTCAGTTCGCTATTCAGTGCGTCAAGAAAAACACAGACACGATATTACATCTGAACACTGTTACCACGGTAACTCAGATATCCTCCTGGGGCAGTGTAGACGTACATGAGACGTACGCTGTGTTTTAAATTGATTGAGTTGCCTTGTCCCTGGAACAAGCATTAACATTAACGAAGCATTAACGGGATGAAGAGGAAGTGATTTGTAGTAGAATACATGTCGAAACAAAATTCATTTTTGAAGAAACTCCTTTACTTGAAAAAAACATAAAGCTTTCATAAACAAACTTTGTATGTGGAGGAAAAAAGGAAAAATCAATCATCCTTTGTTATCAGTCTGTCATGGGTTATTGACTTGTTAAGAAGAAGCTAAAAGTTTCGGGACCATGTTGAAAGACATCAAATGGTTTGTACATGTGTGTGAGCATACATTTTCATCAGACTGATGATTTCACTCTTTGTTGAAAAAGTAACGTACATATCATTTTCTGCACAATAGAAATTATACTCTCATTAGTTATGTCCTATGCACACTGGGATCCATTACCCATAGATAATGAGTACCGGGAATTGATAATAAACTTTAAATTCTAATTATCTCAGTGGGCTGTTCAAACAGATTTGAAATCTAACCATCTCCGCTTCCAAAAATGTTGCAATGTCTCTGATATGGAAAATGATTGAAAATTGTTGTCTCACGTTTTAGATGTGTTCATTTTTTTTGGTAAGAATTTGTATGTCATAATATTTCACAAAATGACTTAACTCATGGCTTGCATAGCCATTGTCGAACACGGAGCTCTTGATTTTAGTGTGTGCAGCTGGCGTGAAGAAGCTTGATGTACAACTTCATTATAGAGTACATCACCACCATCGCAAGGTCTTGCCGTCAGAACTTACTTTTCATTTCTGCGTTTTGCATTCAATTTCGATTGTGCTTTTTTTTTTTTTGAATTTTCATTTTGTGTTTCCTTTTTTCCCCAGTCAAGTCAAGACAGCCTCTTGTCTTCTGTCTAACGTGGCCTTTGGGTTTGGCGTCACGGTGATGACGTTGTTTGAAGGCAAGAATGTGGGCTTGCAGTGGAGCAACATCAGAACGTCACCCTCACTTGACGATCCTTTCACCATGGGAACTGTGTTTATGATGTTCATCGTGGACACCGTGATTTATTTTCTGATCACCTGGTATGTGGCGTGTCTTGATATTGTTGGTATGCCCAAAGAAATTACTGAACATACGTGTACATGTATTCTTCTTTTTTACTTGTAGTTCTATTTAAGATTTGTCTTTTTCGTGTTGTCCGGTTAAAAAAATTAGGATAAAATGTGGTGTTTATCCTTTTTGTTAAAGCCAAAATATTGGTCGGTCAGACCCTGTTTCATTCGTGTTGTAATGGTTTTCTTCACATAAACCTTTTTTGTTTTTTGCCTTGTTACACAGTTTTCTTGCAACATTTTTGTTTACTTAGAAAATCTTTCTGATCCTGTCGCCCTGCTTTGGTGCAGTTGTTTTTTTACTTAGAACATGAGTTGAAGCCTGATACCCTGCATTTGAGTTGGCTTCAGAAAAGACTTGAGAAAGACCACCATGCATCCTTACTTGAAGACTTTATGCTTCTGAATGTAAAACAGTAAATAAAATATCCTCCAGTAATCGCTATTAGTGCCACATGATGCTCGTATTAGCCAGAACTTCTGACTAGATTGGTCTTGCTATTTTTTTGTCAGTGCTACTCGCCTTTCAGCCTGTCGTTATAAACACATACGTGTAATGAAAACATAAAGACTCAATCTCAAAACTGTCCTTGTCAAGTAATGATGAAGTGCCTGTCAAGCCATTATGTAATGTGCAGTAACTACAAAGAAAATATTCATGCATTTTCAAGTTTTTAGTGAAATTCATTCTCAGGGAGCAATAATTTGTTCCAATATTTCCATGTTTTTGCTATTTTGGATTCTTTTGGCAACAAAAATACATGTACTTATCTTCTAGATGTCAAGAAGGCACATTGAACATGTTGATTGCTTGCTGGCAAATGTTCGGTACATGTAGAAATCATTGTGTTATGTTTTTGAACAAATGGTATAAAAGTTTGTGACTGATGTCATGTGTAATTTGTTTCCTGTTTAGATCTTATTCCTGCTTTGTGACTGTTTTCATGTGGACTGTTCTTGTTTTATTTAATTCCTGTTTCATTTCCATTTGTGATTGTTTAGGAAGGCTGTTTTTGTTTCGTTTTTAAAATCCACTTCTATGAGTGTTTTCACAAAGATTGCTTACATTCTGTTTCAGTCCTGTTTTGTTCCAATGTTGCAACTTCTTTCACAGATGCTTTTTATTCTGTTTAATTCCTGTTCTATTCCTGTAAATGTGATTGTTTTTTCATTGCATTAGTTTAATCTATTTTATTTGGGTCTTAAGATGTTTCAAATACAATGGGGAAACTTTTGTTATCTTTTAATCGAGATGAAAACATATTGAAGGTGCAGATTTGACTTGGTTGAAGACATTGGATGTTTTCAGAAAGCTGCATTTAAAAGTAGATGTGGTTAAAAGTGCATGGATTTCTTTGAGAGAGCAAGGGTTTCATTCATTTGGATTTCAAGAATTAAATTACCGATTGCAATATCTCAAATTGAACTGAAAATAACATTTAATATTCCTTAAGTAGTTATCAATTGCAACAATTTTCCCTGTTTCTTTTTAGGTATATTGAGGCAGTGTTTCCGGGGTCTTATGGCATACCCAAACCAGCCTATTTCCCCTTTCAAAGGTCATACTGGTGTGGAGTGTCTGTTGGAAAGCAAGGAACCCATGTTGGCCAAGAAAATGAGGTAATGTATCATGGGGCATGCACAAGGGTTCTCGTCTATTCAATTTTTTCATTCAAGGGCGCCATGCGACGACATTTTCTCTGAGGCACACTCTTTGTGCATCTTTTGTTTCCTTCAGTATGTGAAAAACCAGATGGCATCCATTTAAGGTCAAGCATATTGAAAAGTGGATTTAACCATTAAAAAATAAAAAAAGTCAAAGCTTTTCTGGACAACTGAGGGCACGTTTCCTGTGATATCAATCAGGACAGACAATGTTCAGTAGGTGTTTTTTTCTGTTGAAATTGTGAACCCAAATTTTGCTCATTGAAAACTCTGAGAAAGAGTTGGCCGCATGGCTCATTGTCATATACTCACCTGATACTGAATCATCAAAGACAAGGAAATTTAAAATGTCAAAATGTTAAACATTTCAGTAGGTCTTTGTACAGTACAGCATCAAGGTGTTTACCCTAGGACATGTAGGATGACATCACAGTCTTACTTATGAATTTAGTTATTTTCATTAGCATAAAAACCAAAAATGCACAATATTACTGATACCTTTTAAAATAATGTGCAAATAAGGTTAATTGAAACACAAATGTGCAGTTTTAGGAGCATGATAAAGTCTTTAAAAATTTGGTATAAGGTATCAGTTCTGTGTCACTTAAAGTTGTTTGAAGATAATGAAATGGTACATGGACCAGTCCAAGCTGTAAGCCAGGCATAATGTACACAGGTAGAGTTTAAGGTATGTTGTACATGACTTGTTCCACAGTTGAGTTAACGTTTTTGATGCTAATTAGCCAGTTCGGGTGTGGTTTGGGCACCATCATGTAATAACTTTGAACAGGATGTATTCAAACGTTAGCTGATTCTAGGGGAGTTGAGTTAGTGTGCAGAAAGGATATGTTCCCTCATAAGTCTTTAACATAGTCACACCAATAAAAGATGGATCTATCAAGCAATAAACCCATAAATAGGGTAAGATTTATAATTATCATAAAATAGAATTCCATTTTTTCTTTCTTTCTTTTTTGGGCTTGATGGAACAGATTGGAATGAACACAGGGCTGGATCCAGCTGATCACGAGGCCAGCCCAGAAGGCATCCCAGCAGGAATCCAGATAAAGGGGCTGACCAAAGTCTACAAGGTAAGAAACTTGGGGGAAAAGACAGCAGTATCATGAGGCCAGCCCAGAAGGCATTCCAGCAGGAATCCATATAAAGGGGCTGACCAAAGTCTACAAGGTAAGAAACTTGGGGGAAAAGACAGAAGTATCATCTCCAAATAAACAAATTGCAAAATGACAAGTTATTACGGGTTCTTAGTCTTGTCAATTTACTACGAGCTGGACGCCACTGGAGAGTATGACCGGACCATAGTACATGTGCGGTGTGCATATATATATGGAATTCAACATGTACATGTACACCTGAATGCTGAAGCCGCCTTGTGTGTAACTGGTTCCCTACAGCCATACAGTGTTGAATGTGTATTTTCTTATCAGTGAATCAGTGCCTAATTATAGCTTTATGACTGAATTGAACTTCTCTGGTATTATGAGCCAGTTTGGTATTCCAGTAGCAAATACCCCAAAATCAGAAAAAAGAGCGGACATAGATTTATATAGCACACTTACATGTCTCTGGAAAACTGATCAAGGCCCAATTCCATTATTATTACCCCTGCTCACTGGGCCTATGAAACATTCCAAATGCCGTCTCAGCTCCCTGGGGAGTATACAGCTCGATGCTACCATTTCGGTGCAACGCAGCTACATATATATATCCAATATCATTCAGGAAATGCAATATACACATGCCCCAGATCTGCCCTATCAGCGTGGTCAGCGCGGCCATACACAAAATCACATGTATGCCTTGTTCTCAAGTGACCTTGCCTTTTGGAATACCATTATCAAACTGATTCATTGTAGGCTAGCTCCTACATGAATGATCATGGTAACATACCAAATATAGGGATGGCAAAAAAAGCATAATTTCTCAAACGTGGTAGGCAGTGGTTGCCGATAGTAGTAGAACTACGTGTACATGAATGGAGTTGACCATGAAATATCAGGTCCCTTTATAATTCATCATATACATGTAGCCAAAATAATTTCTTCACGGGTACATGTAGGGCTAGCCTTGTTACTTTGCAACAGCAAGCTTGTGAACAGCAATCAGTGCTTCTGAAAGCATTTGAGTCCTAATTTTTTTTTTTTTTCAGAGTTCAGTGGGCAGCAAGTTGGCCGTGGACAACCTGACGGTCAGCATGTACCAGGGCCAGATCACTGCTCTCTTGGGCCACAACGGGGCGGGCAAGACCACCACTATGTCCATCCTGACCGGCCTCTTCCCGCCCAGCTCGGGTACAGCCCAAGTCAACGGCTATGACATCCGGACCCACATGGACCAGGTGCGGACCAGCCTTGGCCTCTGCCCCCAGCACAACGTGCTCTTCGACCGGTTGACGGTCAAGGAGCATCTGGATTTCTTCATTGCCCTGAAGGTTTGTGTGAAACTGGCTCTCATCCAGAACTCTGATCCTGAATTTAAAAGAAAAGGACCTTCCTCAAAAACCTCCCTGTCCACTGTACTGGAATGAACTGCAGCCAACTTAATTATGGAAAGTCAAACATGTACAAAAGGCTGTGTGAAAATCACACTTCTAGTTCTTAGTGCACTGGTTTAATTTGTTGTATTGAGGGTACTCTGTAGTGTGACAACACACAGCAATGCAGAATTAATGTGCTCAAAGCCCTGAACCTACACGTAGCGTATGTTCTTGTGTATGTTACATCCTCATTCACCTTCATTCACAAATAGTTGACTCCTCAGAAAGTTTCCCTATTCAACAACGTGCAACGTTACCGTGTATTAACATTTGATAATGCCCGCTGAGAAGTGATAATGCCCGCTGAGAAGTGATATGCTCACTGTGTAAATCACGTCCTGGCTCCTGGATACGAGACAGTTTAAGCGATTCTGATTTATGAAGAATCCGCGTGCATGCAGCTCGCCACACGGGCACCAAGTCCACATAAGGAGATTATTCTGGACAACTTGTACAAGGAATATACCATAAAATGGATGGGGGGATGCTTTCGGGAATATGAACAAAATCGTTGGAAATCCACAGACCTGCCAACCTTGCCATACTCCTTCCTGAGGTCAGGCATTACCACAAAATAGATTAAAAGATATTCAAATGAGCCTTCAGTTTCTTTAAATTTCTTAATCTATTGTGCGGTATACCTCACCACAATGAGTATGGCATGTTGGCAGTTCTGAATCCATCATATATTGACTTCTGTGATTCTCTGACTAAAAAAGGTATTTATAAATGGGAATAACTATGTGCGTGGTGGTCTAACATTTAAGACC